GGAAGTCTGGCAAAACCCCAACATCAGACGGGGTGGTGGTGCCCGACGCACCTGTGTACTTTGCGCGGCAAACCGTCAACAACGCCTGCGCAACTCTCGCAATGGTCAACACGCTTCTTAACTACAGCGAAAGTATTCAGCTGGGTGATGAGCTTAGCAATCTCCTTGAGTTTACACGGGAAATGAACGCCTATTTACGTGGAACGCAGGTGGCGGAGAGCGATGTGTTACGTGAAGCCCACAACTCGTTCGCCCCAACTGAATTTTTTGTGCTGCACGATGAGACCCCCGATGCCAGTGATGTATACCACTTTGTCTCATTTGTGTATAAAAATGGGGCTGTTTGGGAATTGGATGGTCTTCAGAAGGGTCCCATCCTTGCCGCCGACGCCACGGACGGTAACTACAAGGAGAAACTGGTGGAAGTGGTGCAAAAACGTGTGATTGACAAAAGCGCCGCGGACAATACGGGAACAGGTCAAGGCATTTCCTTCTCCCTCATGGCCGTGGTTGACGATAGGCTGTTGCAATTAGAAAAGGAAATTGAGGAGGCAAAGGCACGTGAAGAACCAACAGCGTACCTCGCAGAACAACTAGAAGAATTGCGGTTGCAACGCGAAAAGGGCCGCGCGGAGAATCAGCGCCGTCGTCATAACTATGTTCCCATGATTGTGGAGCTTCTCAAGGCATTGGCGGAGAAAGGTAAGTTAGAGGGAATCGTGGAGGAGGCGTTGGCCAAGAAGGCGGCGTCGGCATCCAGCGATCGTTCATAAGGAGCATCATCGCACGCAAATGAGCACAAATATAAGTAAACGGGAAGAAAAACAAAAAAAAAGTGATTTTTATATTTCTCCTCCATCGGTTGGATTATGCACGTATATATACGTATGTGGTTGATTAATATTTTTGTTGTTGTTGTTGTTGTTGTTGTTCTTTATTTCTTTCATTTTTGCTTGGTAATGCTGCTTTGGAGCAGTTCTTTTGGGCATACATAGCATGGGCGATTTGAGTAGGTTTGGTAATGAGGATCTTACGTGTGGAAAGCGAGCCCGCGAGGACACCATTGCCGCCGCCTTGACGGCTGAGAATAGTCACACCGGTGTGGCAGAAGGGGAAGGAAAGAAGAACGAAATACGAAATTCGCTACAAATGGCAACGCCAAAAGATCCCTCGGCGTATTATTTGAATGTGCGGCAGGTGGTATTTTGTGTCCTGCAAGAGCATGCCAGCGAGGCGGCGTTGCTGACAAGAGAGAAGTTGGTCTCTTCTCTGTGTGACGCATGCGACGCTGTGGCGCATCAGGAGCCCTTTGAGGCTCCGTTGGATATTGAAATGCTGAGAAAAAGCGTACAGAAGTGTTTGCAGGGGGCTAATTGGGTGGAGTTGGATCATACACGTCTCGATGTTATTGCAGAAAACCTCACATCACGCTTGGCGAAGGTTGTGCCAAAGCTGCCACTGCCGATATTGGCGGAGGAGGAGGAGGCGCAGGCGAATAGTAGTCGCCCCGCGAAGAGGCCACGTAAAGGAATGTCGTTGAATGCCGTTTTGCAGACGTACCGTTTTGGTGGCGACGAACCTCAAGAAAACCATGTGAAGAAGTGGCGTGGCGGCATTTTTCCGACACCGCCATCACTTCCCAGCGTTTTTCCGGAGAGTGCCGTGTGCTGTGTGAACTGTGTGACGTTTGAGAACTACCAACGAAGTACTACGAACCAGAGGGAATGAGGCGACAGCTGGATAAGATCTGCAAGCGAATACCCCATG